GAGATAGTAATATTGTTTTTCAAGGGGCAGAGGAAGATGAAGGACAGTAGATTAGGTTCACTGATGAACATTGGCACTGGGTAATATTTTATACATCAAGTCTGCGCTCATTCAACAATGCCATGTTTGTTTTATTGCATCAATGTATTAGTAAATGTACTAGGAATCCAGTTTCCTAAATTTGAATGTTTTGAATTTGTGCTTATTCAGAGATGTTGTGATTAAGGACTTGAATCCTTATTTTAAAGATTAAGTTAAAATTTCGTCTTTGTCTTCTTGGCTTAAAAGCCAGAATATATAACGACTATAAATGTCCCAGAATGTCACAATGACTGCACAAATTACATTGTATTTGTGGAGACAGTGGGAAAACTGATAATGACAATTTATAGTAATGCAGTAATCAGCTGTCTCTCAACTAAGTCCAGTGCTTTAAACTGCAGCGGTAGTCTTTGTTCTGGTCAGGCACATGAACCAGTTCTCCAACCTTTCTAGTTGAAGGAGCTATTGTCACCAGCTGCAGTGCACATTTCTCCAGCCACTAAAGGAGAGACACTCTGGAGCTGCCTGCACATAATGCTCACTGTCGCTGCCCAACAGCACATGCCTAAAGTGACATTTCAACTGCTGGCAGGCACTTTGTGGTCTCTTCAGCTTGTCTTACACCACTTAAGTTTTGTAACCTGGTACATGTGGTGTCTTTAGGTGATATATCAATGGAAGACAAAGAGATTCACAGATAACTAAGAGGGAGACCCTGCAAGAGCTGGAAAAGATCAGACAAATAATAATAACAATAATAATAATAATAGTAATAATTCTTTATTTAAAAGGGACAGTCCAGTTTAACATAGTCTATAGCTATTGCTAATTTCCAACCATTGTCCCTTGTTGGGCTGCCTTTATGGAAAATGCTGATTGTCCAAATTTAGATCTGATATTTTGCAATTATATTATATAGTATAGGGCTGTGCGATATGACCAAAATCTCATATCCCGACATAAGGCATCTATCGTCCCGATAACAATATAAATCACAAAAATTTAACATTTTCTGTGAATTCTGTGAATCTCGGGCAGCTCGACTTGCGTGAAGTGTTTCCAGCTGATGTATCTATTAAGACACTCTGGGACCAGCCTATTTATACACTTGAAGACTAATTTAACAAAACACAAATGATTGAAACTCTTAAAACTAAGTAAATTATATTTCATTAAAAGTTGTGATGCATAAAGTAATTAAAGTAGGGGTGGGTATCATCACTGATTTCTAGAATCAATTTGATTCTGATTCAAAAAGTCCCGATTCGATTCGATACACGATTCGATTAGATTCAGTTTTGACTCAGACAGTCAGAAATATTATAATTCTGATCATTTATCAGTACTGACACTTGTGAGACCTAATCAGAGGTGTAAGCATCATAGCAGATGCCTTTGTGCCAAAGTAACTGAGGATAAAACACAGAAAAACATGAAGGATATTTTCCTGGCCTGGCCATATATAGTAGATAACCTTAAAAATATTCTGCAGTAGAACAAAAACAGAAGAAAACAAAGAATCAACACATGAACATTACCTGATGGTGCTGAAGTGAAGCAGAGCAAAGTTAGGTTTTATTAGAGACGCAGCTAAGCGTTTTGCAATTTGGCATAATTTTTTAAAAAAAAGTTTAAATTTCTTTGGTATTAAACAGCAGAAATTAGGCTTTCTTGTTGGAAGTCATTTAAAAAAAAGAAAGAAAAGAAAACAGCGGCCGACAGTGCTGTGAACAACGGTACACTGGTGGTTAATAAGCAAGCAAATAATACAGAAAACAGAGATTTGAGATGGGAACTGTTCTTGAAGTACACTGAGAGAAAAAGAGAGAGAGAGCTGTGCAGAAATTGTGATTTTTATTGCGGTGGAAGCAAAGCAAGTAAGAGGGAATTCATGACGATGTTTATGTGAAGCGTAGTTTTGATCTTCTTTTGGTGCTGGTTCAGTCAGTTTTGGTTGGACAGTGACAAAACCTGCAGCTTCAGAATCTGTGAGCTGTTGGCTTTCAGCACCGGCGGCGTGCCTGTGTACGTGCCGTCGGGTGAGAAAGCCGACAGCTCACAGATTCTGGTGCGTCGGGTCTTTTTGCGGAATCCGTCTGGGATTCAGGTCTGGGGAACGGATGGGCCAGTCCATAGCATCAATGCCTTCGTCTTGCAGGAACTGCTGACACACTCCAGCCACATGAGGTATAGCATTGTCTTGCATTAGGAGGAACCCAGGGCCAACTGCACCAGCATAAAGGGTCTGAGGATCTCATCTTCGTACCTAATGGCAGTCAGGCTACCTCTGGCGAGCACATGGAGGGCTGTGCAACCCCTCAAAGGAATGCCACCCAACACCATTACGGACCCACTGCCAAACCAGTTATGCTGGAGGTTGTTACAGGCAGCAGAACATTCTCCACGGTGTCTCCAGACTCTGTCACGTCTGTCATATGTGCTCAGTTTGAACCTGCTTTCATCTGTAAAGAGCACAGGGCGCCAGTGGCGAAGTTGCCAATCTTTGTGTTCTCTGGCAAATGCCAAACGTCCTGCACGGTGTTGGGCTGTAAGCACAACCCCCCACCTGTGGACGTCGGGCCCTCAGGCCACTCTCATGGAGTCTGTTTCTGACCGTTTGAGCAGACACATGCACATTTGTGGCCTGTTGGTGGTCATTTGGCAGGGCTGCTCCTGTTCTTCTTTGCACAAAGGTGGAGGTAGCAGTACTGCTGCTGGGCTGTTGCCCTCCTACAGATTCCTCCATGTCTCCTGATGCACTGGCCTGTCTCCTGGTAGCGCCTCCATGCTCTGGACACTACGCTGACAGACACGGCAAACCTTCTTGCCACAGCTCGCATTGATGTGCCATCCTGGATCAGCTGCACTACCTGAGCCACTTGTGTGGGTTGTAGACTCCGTCTCATGCTACCACTAGA